GGGGGGGGAAGCAAAAAAACACCAAACCAAGCTTAGTGTTCCTCCATACCCTTAGGACAGAGTGCAGCCCTTTATCCTGGCAGCTGAGGCCCTCCGTGACCTCTTCAGTTTCCCACCGCATGTGCCTGGCTTTAGTGTGAGCAAAGTTCCAGACGAGGCTCCACTGTTTTTCTCACTGTGGCTCTGCACACACTGCCCCTCTGCCTGGGATGCCCTTCTCCTGGCATTCTTCAAGGCTTAAGTCAGGGGTCATCTCTTCCAGGAAGCCTTCCAACTCATCTGGGCTCCCTGTGCTTTCCCTGTCAACCCTCTAACCACACTGTGCTGCCCTTATGCGAGCTCCTTAAGGACAGGCACCAGGTATGACATGTTCTTTGCTCCCAGGGCTCAGCCCAAGGGCAGGCACAGGTGAGTCCTCTGGGAATGTTTGCTGAGAGTCTAAGGGGCTATCAGGGTGTGGCTCACAGTATAGATCACTAAAGAGCAGGTGGATTGCTGATCTTGGTGACCAGTGTCAAAGAAACATGGGGTGGGAGCCAGGCTAATGGCTTGGAGATGGCGGGAAGCAAGGAAGTAGAGAGCAGAGGCAATCCCTTTCCATAGCCCAAGGGAACTGTCCTTCTGTCCTTCCTCCAGTCATGCCCAGAGCACTTTTGTCAGCGTCCCTCATACAGGTACTTGCTGAATATTCCCTTCTAGGAAAGCTCCCTGCAGTGACCCCAATCTCTCCCCAGGAATCCCCAAACTGCCTAGTAGCCCTAAATATCCCAAATCTCTCAATCAAAGGTCCCCCAAAACTTTCCCTCATGTCTCCTAAAATTCCACTAATCCCTCAAACTTGCCCTGGAAAAACCATTTCCCTATCAAGCCCCTAGAAGGAGGGTGATGTGCCCCTTACCTGGGCCTTCTCCAGGGAGGGGAAGCTGGTGCTGGACTCTTGCACTGGCCACCAGGGGAAGGGGAGGACAGACTTCTCCTTTATACTGTCAATCCCCCCCTTCACCTCCCCCACACAGCTGCTCAGAAATGTGACACTCACCCCATCTATTTCTGGATGTCTTCTCAAGGCTCAGGAACACCAGCCTCCCCCCAGTCTGCCCTGGGCCAGTGCTCCTCACATGAAAAAGGGAATCTTTGAGGACTGAGGCATTGAGGATCCAGGCCCCAATAACTGCACCCTGCAGCCTCCCCACTGAATTTGGTGCTGCACTCTGATCAGAAGAAGGGAAGAGACTGAGGTAGTCTCAGACAGCATCTCCCAACCTTGTGTTCCTTTCATGTGAACTTCGAGACTCATCTTAGGTGCAAGGAGAGATTCCTGGATTAAAGAGGTTGGATCCTGGGTCCCAGCTCCACCAATGACTTGCCCTGTGACCATGGAGGATTTTCTGCACCACGCTGGGCCTCTGTCCAATGAGTAGATTTGATGCCATCTCTTGGGTTTTTTTTCTTGGGGTTTTGGGTTCTGGGATGTGAGAAGCAATTCTGAAAGCCAGAAGGTGAAGAGAGGAGGACAAAGCAGTTGACTTGGACCCATGGACTGTCCTCACTGCCCCCATAATCTTTTATTCCAGCAACTACAAACATGCACGTCCCTCCAGGGAGAGAGGCAATCAGGATATTTAGGCAAGATGCCGTTTTCATAGTAATGGTGAACAGAAGGGATGCTTAATTTTTAATGTAGGGGCACTTTGGGTTGGGCAATCTCATTAGAAGGGGACAAAGGAATTTGTCTTGAAGCTGTGTTTGTCTAACAAGCACTCTGTTTTGGGGGATGTCGCTCTTTCTACCTCTCTCCCTTCCCTCTCCCAAGCTTGTATACACAGTGTATCTTCCTGTTGGGTTCACATGAAGGATTTTGGGTGAATCTTTATTTGGTTGACAGTCTGAGGGGACAGGGGGACAGAGATGGGGTTAAATGAATGAGGCAGACTAGAATAGCAGCCTTTTGGTAGGTCTAACCTACCACATCCAGCCCAACTCCAGCAGGCAGCATCTCTTCAATCCTCAAATTCAGGACCCCTAACTCCTCTGGCCAGGCTGGAAGTGACCGCTTCCTCTCTCCTCCCCCAAGGCTGAGACTGTCAGAAAGCCCTTCCCAGAGGCATTTACTGATTCCCAGCTGGTCCCTTCTCCCATTACCTCAAAATTGGGCAACCAAAATTAGGAGCCAGGGTATTTATAGACAAGCCCAGAGGAGGTGGGGGGAAAGGCTAGTGTTTATAAACATTGTGTCACCTGGGTCTGAACGTCATCCTCAAAGAGAGAGGGTCTGGGGAAGGGGGCGAGGCTGGTCTCTGAGGATCTGAGACAAGGAGTTCTGTATCTGGTCCAACGGACTTGGGGGCGGAAGAGGAAAGGAACTGGGAAGGAAGGGAAATGAGGGCCCAATTTCTAGAGCACGTGAACCACTGCGTGGGCCATATGCAAATCATTGAGCGCCCAAGCGTGACCTGTAGGCTGGCAGGACCCTCACGTGGCTCCCTGGCCTAGAGGTCTGGGGGCTGGGGGCCTGAGTTAGGGCCCACCCGAGGGAGAAGCCAAATTTCGCTAGTCCCCTCCCCACCCTGGAGCCAAACATGGTTCTCGAGAAAGTACCCGCAGTCCTTGAGAAGGGAAGTTACGCCCCTCAGCCCCTTCCCCAGCCACTCCCGCTCCCCCCAACCCCCGTGTCCGAAGTTGGAGTAGGCGGTGTCTGGTTACCGCCTCGGGGGCTATAGTTAGCCGCGGGGACTTTGTTTATCAGTGGACACCCGGGATAGCGCAGCGCCTGCCCAGACTTTAGCCCCCAGCCTGCGCCAAGCACCAGTGCTCCTTGCCGCTCTCCGCTTCAGCGACCCCCAAGTGGGTCCTTGGCACCCTCCCACTCTCCTCTCCAGGAGGAGCCAAACTACCGCCCCATCTCTACCATCGCCAAAACCCCCTTGAGCAGGAGACGCTGAACAGCGGGGACTCCAGGAGTCTGGGGAGTGGAGACCCCGCGCTGTGCCGGAGGACAATAAAAGCCAAGGCCCCGCCCACGCCCTGAGGCCCGCCCTTGGCCCCACCCCCGCCCCGCCCAGGGCCCCAGTCCTGGACCAGGGACCCCTCACACCACAGAAGAAGGGGTCCACATATTCTTTCAGCCCATCAAAGCCTGGATTCCGCTGCTGCTGGCCCTGCCCTAACCTGGACTTCGCCCTCCTGAGTGTCTCCCAGGGACCATGTTGGTGGCTCTGCTGATCGCCCTCAGCTACGTTGGCCTTCACACCCTCTGGCAGGTAACTCTGGGGAACCATCCTCTGTCACTAGGGTAGCTGGGGAACAGACCTTGAAGAGATGTTGTGGAGGCTGACTCAAAACTTTCTCCCAGGGACTCTTCCCTAGAACCCCAATTCCTCTTAATCCTCTTCCTCTGAGAAACCTCCTTCCCTGCAGGGCGCTCCAGGTTCACTTGGCCACTCCCAGAATCCCCACCTCCACCCCCAGCTCCCTCTATGAACCATCCCTCCCTACTGATGGCCTCCCACTTTTTACTGTGCAGTTACCTCCCACCACAGGTCCAACCTAGGCAAACCTCATTGGGTTACCTGTGTGCTGCAGTTCTGTCAGCCAGGGCTTGACCTTCCCATTCCATCTTCCACCCCAGGTTTGGGCATAAGGGCTTCCAAACCAGGAGAGGACCCTGGGGTTTTGGAGTGGACAATGATTTGGTGTAGTGGCTGAGGACTTGACCTTTCCCACCCTACCTCCCTCAGGTTTGGGAATAGAACTTCTAAAGCAGAAGGCTCTGGGGTTTGGGAGCTGACAATGACTTAGTGTAGTGGCTGAGCAAGGGTTTCCTAAGGAGGAGAGGGACAGAGTGTCTCAGGAGGATGGGGAGGGGTTGCATATTAGAGGTGGAAGTTGGCATTGACTGTACATTTGGACACTGGCTGTACATTTGTAGATCATCTGCAGACTGAATCTTAAGGCCAGAAAAGCATTTAGAGGTCATCTGGCCCCACCTCCCACAGAGTGCAGGAACCTCTCTTATGACAAGATGACCCATTTTAGTTTGTACACAGTAAAGATCTATATGCTAATCCTCACGATAATTCTGTGAAATTAGAATTATCCCCAATTTGTAAGTGGTCAACATGAAGTCCAGAAAATTTGAATCTTGCCCAGTATCCCCCAGTTGTTGTTGTTATTTGCCGTCGAGTCGGACCCGACTCATAGTGACCCCTCCTTGGGTTTCCGAGGCAGGATCACTATGGAAGTAGATTGCCCCATCTTCCTTTCCGAGGAGTGGCTGGTGGGTTTGAACCACCAGCCTTCTGGTTAGCAGTCAAGTGCCTTAGCCACTATGCTACCAGAGCTCCCATCCCCCAGTTAGCAGGTGGTAACTGGGTTTGTTAAGCCTCTTCTTGAGACTTGCCAAACTGTTTGAATACACCAGATACTTGAAATGAGATTCTGTGTTTCTGAACTGATTGGGCACAAGAACCCCTGTCCAGTGCTCTGAACTCACACCCTTTCCTGTGTGGCTCCTCTCTCTCTTACTTCCATAGGCCCAGGCTGTTCCTATCCTGCCCCTGGGCCTGGCCCCAGACACCTTCGATGATGCTTATGTGGGCTGTGCAGAGGAAATGGAGGAGAAGGCAGCCTCCCTGCTAAAGGAGGAGATGGCCTGCCATACCCTGCTGCGGGAGTCCTGGGTGGCAGCCCAGGAAGCCTGGGAGCACAGGCGTCGAGGGCTCACCCTACCCCCTGGCTTCCAGGCCCAGCATGCAGTGGCCATCATGGTCTATACCAACTCAACCAACACCTTGTACTCAGAGTTGAACCATGCTGTGCGGACTGGTGGTGGCTCCCGTGAGCTCTACATGAGGCACTTCCCCTTCAAGGCTCTGCATTTCTACCTCACGCGGGCCCTGCAGCTGCTGCGGGGCAGCGGGGGCTGTAGCAGGGAACCTGGGGAGGTGGTATTTCGAGGTGTGGGCAGCCTTCGTTTTGAACCTAAGAGGCTGGGGGACTCTGTCCGCTTGGGCCAGTTCGCCTCCAGTTCCCTGGATGAGGCAGTGGCCCGCAGATTTGGTAATGCCACCCTCTTCTCTCTAAGGACTTGCTTTGGGGCCCCTATCCAGGCCTTCTCTGTTTTTCCTGAGGAACGTGAGGTGCTCATTCCTCCCCATGAAGTTTTCTTGGTCACCAGGTTCTCCCAGGATGGAGCTTGGAGCCTAGTGACTCTCTGGAGCTATAATCAGACCTGCAGCCACTTTAACTGCGCCTATCTGGGTGGTGAGCTGTGCATGGGGGAATAGGACATGTGAAATAGTGTAGGGTGTGTGAAAATAAGCCAGGATGTCCCTACACAATCCCCAGGGCCTTCAGTTAATAGGGAAAGTTGAGGGTTAGAAGTCAGTTAGGGTTATTGTCCTCTGACTCAGGTTCCGCTACCCCTCAGAATGTCTTCTTAAGAAGACATTTTCTGGATCTGTGAATATTCTCAGATGATTCATAGATGTTTCATAAGGATTCCATCTGCTAACTCTAGAAAGTCCAACCTAAGAGGGTGTTCCCTTCTTCTGACCCTAGCCTTAATTAAAAGAGCCTGATCAAGGAGGTTAGCAAGCAGAGGAAAGAGACATGGATACTGCTTCAGATCCTAGGAGGCTGTGGGCTTGGTGGGAATAAAAGGACACCTAAGTGCTATTCCCAAGTGCTGGGGGTGGCGGGGGGTGGGTAGCATGCAGAATGGAGGAGTGTTGGGCTTGGGTGGGAGAACTGATGGATGGGCAATTTGGAAAGATCCAGGGGAAAAAGAGGAGGAAGGGATGTCAGAAGTTTGCATTTAGAAGAAGAGAAAGATGGATTGAGAGGAGGAATGGCCTGTGTTGGGGCTTAGTGGGAAGGGTGTAAGGGTCTGTCTACATGGAAGTTTCACTGTGCTGTCTATTGCAGGGCAGAAGAAGCGGGACTGTGTGTTGGCACCAAGTAAGTTACCCCCCCTGCTCCTCCCTCAGCTGTTTCCACTTCCACTGCCAACCCGTTCAACTTCTTTTCTTCTCTCTCCAGCAGGGGAGCTGCCAGACCCACCCTCCAAGAAGGCCTTCTCTCTGCTTTCCCGGAAAACCATGCTGTTGGCTCCTGGGGGGTTCCAGTTCTCAGGAGCTGGGCCGTGAAAGTCCAGTGCCTATCATTTAGGAGTCTTGGGAACTGGCAGCTCTCATAGAAGAAGGGCTTCAAACAGCCTTGATGGTTCCGGGCCCAGCCCTAGCAGCCATCTCCCTGGGGCCAGCATGTAGGGAGACGTGAGTCCATGGCAGGGTGGAGGGTACCCCAGTATATGGTGGGGACTGTCTGGGACAACAAGGGGAGTGCTGTGATGGTCATTTAATTAAATGGTTTTGCAGTGTGGAGACATCCAATTTCATGATTGGTTTTTTCCATGAGGCTTGAGGATCTGCCCTGCTCTGTTGATGCCAGAGTCAGGACTGAGGGACTGAAAAAGAATAATCTCTTGTCCCTGTCACACATTATAACCTGTAAACCCAGATGTTTGAGCAGCCAAAGGTTCTTCACAACAACCCTGAAGGCAGGAAGGGAGACAGATGGATTCCTCATCTATTTGCCAGATGAGGAATGAAAGGCCAAGAAGGGAAGCTACTTCGCCAAGATTAGAAAATTAGTACTGAAACACGGCTCCTGCCTCCCAGCCCAGAAGTCTTTTTACCAAATCATTTGAGGAAGCCCAAAGTAGGATCCTAAGGTCATGATACCTGGAACCCCAGAGCAAGCCATCTTCTCTTTGACCTTCTCATTCAAGGATGCATAGAAGAGCATAGGGGTGGTGGGACCTCAAAATATCAAGAATCAAGGATTCTCACATACTCCGGAGGCATCCAGTATTCAGAACAGAAATTTTATTGAGGCAAAGAAAGCAATAGGCTCTACTAGGCTGTTCTACTAAGCAACAGAAAAAAAGGAACTTCCCATTGCCTAGGGCTCCCCTTTGGTCCCCAAACCCTCCTCCTGGGACAGGTCCCCAACCCCCTCTGCTTCCTGCTCTCTATGCACTAGCACATGAGCTGGGGAGGAGGGGCTGGACTCTCCAGAAGCTAGAGCCCTAGTCCCTCCAGTGTCTTGAGGTCCAGTTTCTGAAGATCCTTGGGTTTCCACAATCCCTGGCACTGTCAGCTCTGGGGTCTCAGGGATTGGGGGCCCAAGGTTCTGGAAGCTGTTACGCACTCGGGTAATGTAGCGACTGAGAACACTGGCACCGTCAGGGGGCCGGGGTGTCCCTCCCTGTGCCAGAGTCCGCCGCACACCAGCTACTTCACTTTGCAATCGAGATACAGTCTTGGTCAGCTCTGTCAGTCTGTTGCCCAGGTCTGGGAGAGATGGAGTATTGAGGGGAGGTGTCTCAGAAGATGAGCCTACTCTGTGTCATTTCTAACCCCAACAGTACCCCAAGGGATGCTCTTCCTGAGAATCCTGAAGGAGGAGAATTGGAGGAGGTGAGAGACCACCTTATGGGCTGGGAACCAGGTGGTCAGGCAAAGTCTGGGACAGAAGAATCTGAGCAGGGGTAGGGAGGGGTTAGTTTAGGATTTATAATGAAGGAAAGCCTTGGGGTTAGAAAAGATCAGGAGTAATAGGGGAGAATAGTTTTTAACTGGTAGAGATTTGTACATCTGCCTCTATTAGCCCTCTAATACACCCGCCCTTCTCATACCCATCCTTCAGGACCCAGTTCAAGCTCTACCTCCTCCTTCCCCAACTTCTGGTACACTATCCTACCTTCCCACTATCCTCTTAAAATGATAGATTGTTTCCATCCTTTGGGCTCCCACTGCAATCTGTGCCTCTCATAGCTAAATATTCTCTGCCTAGTATAATGTACCTTTTCTCATCAAACTGAGAGCTTCCCATGTATTCTTGCTCTACACAGCCCCCTACCCCCAACTGCAGAACCCAGAACAAAGGAGGACATAACAATAAATGTTCGTTGAATGAGTGAATAAATGAATGAATCAATCAACTGATCATGAATTAAGTGAATGAGTGAATGGGTAAGGGAGTGATTGAGAATAAGTGAGCACATGAGGAAAGGAGGGCAGGAAGAAGGATTAAATGAAATGAGTGGAATAACTATTTGAATGGGTGAGCAGATAACTGAGTACAAGGGGATACACTGTTCAAGTGTGGCTTCCATGGGAAGAGTAAGATGGGGACACACATATAAGCAGGCTGGGTGAGGGGTATGTCTGAGTATAGGGTATTTATCCCAGGTTAGCAAGGTACGGGAATAGGGAAGCCTTGGAGATGGGCAACTAACCTTTCCTACGAGTCTCCTCGAATTCACGTCGGGCAGTCTCTATGTAGCGCTGGACCAGGGCCTTGATGACACGAAGCCGGTAAGATCTTCGCTCTCCCTCCCCAGGCCCTGTCCCTGCCCCAGGATTGGCCTGAGTGGGAAGACAAGGGTAAGAGATACTCCCTTCTCCAGTGTCCTGTAATCACCAGCTCCACCCCCCAGGCAACGAAGGATTGAGGCAGGGCCTGTGCAGCCTTTTCTGTCCCTGCAGGCCACACACCTAGACCCTGGTTTGCCCCCACCTCACAGGGAAGTCCTGGAAGGTGGGAGGATAGAGGAACGGGGTGGGCTGTGGGGGCTGGAAGGTGAGGGGATGGTGGGCAGAGGCAGAGACTGAGCAGGGCAGAGCTAAACTTCCTTTCCTGCCACTGACCTAACCCTGGCTTTCTTAGGTTGAGTTAATCCAGGCTAACCTCTGATAGCGTAGTGCCTAAGGCACTTGACTGCTAATCAGAAGGCTGCTGGTTCAAACCCACCAGCCACTCCTCGGAAGGAAGATGAGGCGATCTACTTCTGTAGCGATACTGTCTCGGAAACCCAAGGAGGGGTCACTATGAGTCAGGTCTGACTTGATGGCACATAACAACAACAACAACAACCTTGCCCTTCAAATTCCAGAGAAGGGTAGAGTCAGGGATGTGCAGAGGCACTGCTTGGACCTGCTTATGCAACAGAGTGGAAATCTTCATGCAAATTAGAGTGATTGATTCTGGGTCCAGTTTTAGGCCTTGGGACTAGTCAGATGGGGCAGATGATGAAAAGTGGTAGCAGCAGTGTAATAGGTAGAGTACTGATCTGGGAGACAGAGGTTCAAGTCCTAGCACAGTCACTTTGCAGCAGGCAAATTATTCCATCTCTCCAAATTTAAAACAGAAATGGTAATAATAACTACTACCCAGTGTGGCACAGTGTCTATTATAAAGTAAAGGCTCTTTAAATTCTTAAATTATTTTTATTTATCTAGTTTTATCTACTTTCTAAATACTTTATAGTTAGCATATTTACATTTATAATGTAAAAAAGCAAAAATTTTTAATTAAATATATTAAAAGGAGATGATAGACAGACATGGGGCAGGGAAAGTTATGAAAGAATTATTAGCCCTTTTGGTACAGAATATTAAAGCATTTTTCCTGTGTAAAATAAAGAACTTGGGGAGGACGTCTCCTGAGGATGCAGGACAGGTGGGAAGGGGACACCTGATTAGATCACCAAAGAACAAGTTAGTGAGGTGGTGGCAGCTGGGAGAAGGTGGGATCTCAGTGGGGGTGCAATGGAGGACCAAGGAGACTCGCAGCTGGCTGCTATGTAGGGATCTGACTGACATAGTGAGTCTGCCCATTGCAGTAAGACAGACAAGCACAAGGCCAGGGAACTGAATATAATCTTAGGCACAGAAGCTGAGTTTCACCAAAGGGTGGAAGTAATCCTGGTGTGTCATCTGCAAATATGCATCAGGTAACCTGGGCAAGGGCAGGAAGTAGCTAGAGGAAAAGGGTGGTAATTCTAGATCTAGGATTCAAAGAGCTAGGAAGGTGTTTAAAGAGGTATCCATGCAGGATAGCCTGGAGCCAGGCTGGGGTGAGAACTGGGGAATCTTTGGCATTTAATTTCCTGATTGTGTCATGCTTTAGCACACACAGTTTCCTGCCCCCAGAACTCCCTTCTCTATCTCATCTGCCCATCAACCTCGTGCTTAACCTTCAGGATTTTGTTTTGCCTTCAGCATCTCTAAGAAACCTGTCCTGAGGCTGGATCTATGGATCCAATAGTCCCCTGTGCTTCTTCCTATAATAAAATGAAAGTAACCCAAGCTCACTGCCACTGAGTTGTTTCTGACTCATAGCCACCCCTCCTTGGGTTTCTGAGGCGGTATCTCTATGGAAGTAGATTGCCCAGTCTTCCTTCTGAGGAGTGGCTGGTGGGTTGGAACTGCCAGCCTTCTGGTTGGCAGTCACATGCCTTAGACACTACGCCACCAGAGCTCCCTCTTCCTATAATAGTCTTGTCATTTTATACAATTACAATCTGTTCTGTTATTCTGGACTGGTCAGCACCTCAAGTACCTTTGTTTCTAATATGGGTGTGTTTTGGTAGGTGTTTGTTGAACAAATTACTGACCAACCAGAGTATAAAGGGACCTCAGAACTTGAGAGATGATTTGTGGCCCCATAGAGCTGGCCTGCAGGCCATAAATTAGAGATATCCTCAGGTAAAAAGTTTTAAAGGGCTAGAACCTTCTGCATGGGATCAAATATAGCAATGATTATGAGGATGGCATAGGACTGGGCAGTGTTTCCCTGTGTTGTACTCAGGGTCGTTATGAGTTGGAACTGACTCAATGGCACCTAACAACAACAGAACTCTCTGTGGACCTGGCAGTAATGTTGGTCTGAATTAGGAAGGGGCTTCTAAACTAGACCAGATTAGGGGTCAGTGAGCCCTTTGCAGGCCTGGCCCCCTCTTTCAGTCCTCTATCAGCCTTTTAATTTTCAAGTTTGTTGGAGAATTCTCTCATTTTTTAAAAAAAGATTCAACAAGGTTTGGCCCAGTTTAGGGCAAAAGGCTTGTCTGGAGCTTAGGGGATATTGGTGGCTTGGGAGAAGGGTGGCATGAACTTCTGTTTAAGCCTGGTGACAACAGGGTTGGAAATTTAGGAAATGGTCAGAGCCAGAAAGAGGCAAAGGGAAGCCACATGAAAGAGTGGGAATTGGAAAAAGACTTTCTGGAAAGACAGACAAACCAAGAGTGTACAGAAAAACAGATGGCATAGACAACACAGTTGAAGGCCCGAAGTGAAGGAGACAAACAAGCAGACAAGATACTCACAAAGATGGGGATTGGGGGATAGTCTGGCTTCTTGGTTTTGCAGCAGGAACAGCAACAGCAAATGAACTGGAAAATCCTCCTAAGAGATTTAGATGTTGGGAAGAGGTCAGTCAGAAGACAGGGCCTAGAAATTTGGGGCAGGAGCTAAAGGTGAAATGGGCTGTTATCTTTGGGGAACTAGCGTTGAAAGCTCTGAGGTCATCACCTGAGAAGGTAGAAGAAGGACTTGGGGGAGGGTAGAATGTTGAAGGGCACAGGCAGCGTCAGGCCCTCTCGGAAGTAGGACAAGTAGAGCTTGGAGCGAGCAAATTTCCACTCTACATCAGCGTCATCCTGGGGACCAGGAAGTAGAAGACTGTGCAAGGATTGCTTTGGTACCCAGCTCTTTTGCCCACTCAATCTGCCTTCTCTTTTCCCCAGTCCTCACAGATCTCATTCTCCATCATGTCAGTGACTTTCCTCCCCTCCATTTTTATTCTGTCCTCATCACCCACATTTCCCCTGCCTATATGTGCCTATCTTTTCTTTTCTTTTTTAAATTGTGATTTGGGTGAAAATTTACAGAGCAAATTCACTTTCCATACAGCAGTTCACATACATTTTGTCTCATGACACTGACCACAATTTACCACAATGCAAAAGCTCCCCTCCTACTTCCTCCCCATAGTTACCTCTTCCCTGTGTCCATCCCTCCATACACTCCTGACCCCTGAGCTGTCTCCCTGTGCATAAGCAGCCTTTCTTTCTCCAATGATTGTTCTCTCCAAGGAGTGTATCTACCTCAGGTAAACGTTCAACTCATATGCCTGTCTTTTGTTGGCTGGAAACCACAGGTGTGGGTTCAATTCCAGACCTGAAGGGCAGCTAGGGGCCATAGTCTCAGCGGTTCCACCAGGCTCTATTGGACCAGCAAACCTGGTCTCCCCCCTTTTTTTCTCCAAATGATTTTGAGTTTTGTCCACATTGTTCTCCCTCTCTTATCAAGGATCTCCTACATAGATCCCCTTCCAAGTGGATGACAGTGGTAGCTGGGCACCATCTAGTTCTTCTGGTCTCATAGTCATGGAGGCTGCAGATCGGATGGCGTACCAGTCTCTAGGACTAATTGTTTCCATGACTTTTTGGTTTTCTTCATTCTTCTTTGCTCTGGACAAGGAGAGACCCATTGTTGCATGTAGACGGCAGCTTGCTAGCTTTTAAGATCCCAGTTGCTACTCGCCAAAGTAGGAGGTGGAACAATGTTTTGTATAGTATGTTATGCCAATTGAGCTTGATGTCCCCTGTGACTATGGTCCCAAGCCCGCAGGTTCAACTACTTGGTCCCTCTGGGTAGCTGGCTGTGACCAAGCAGTGACCACAACCTTGCCCCTTGTCAGCTCTACTATACACCTGGAATTCTGATCATTCACATAAACTTATAGGACCATTGTCTGCCAACCCTATACATGTTCTTTGATACTCTCCCCACTTCATAGATATACCGAATAGTTCAGCCTGTCCACCCATCTCTCCACCCGTATACCCATGTTTTGTGCCTATCCTTTCTTCCTTTCCATTTTCTTTTACCCTTCTGATACCCAGCCTATTCTTCAGACTTCAAGTCCCAACCCATCCATCTCCTCCCCTCTTCCTTCTCACATTCCCATCTACTTTTCTACAACCTCCACCATTACCATGAAGTGGAAAGAGCATTAGACTTGATGTCCAGAGAGTGTGATAGCATTACTAAGACCTTCATTTTACAGAGGAGGAAAATGAGGCCAAAAGAGGGGAACTTGTCCAAAGCCTCAAACAGGGTAATAGTGGAGGCAGAGCAGGAGCCCAAGGTCTTGACAACTTTCACCTGTTCTTTCCATCTGTTCCTCTATTCTCCTCCCTGCTCTAATCTGACCTCAGTTCACGTACCTCAATCTTCTGGAAGGAGTTGGTGATCATAGCAATGAGCATGTTGAGCAGCACAATGACCATGACGATGGTAAAGATGCCGTAGAGGGCCCGGCCCACGAATTCAGGCACCAGAAACTGAGGCATGTCTACCACGCTGTGCTCCTCCATGCCAAACATGGTCCAGAACAGAAACTGGAATGTCTCGTTGAAACTAACATGCCAGGCCAAGGAAGGGATAGGAAGTGAGGGGTGAAGATGAGACTGAGCTCCACCCAGACACACTTCTCCTTGCCCTCCAGGACCCAGACAAAGGCATTCTGCTTCCATGAAACTCTTTGGGCCACTCTGACCCATATGGATACTTGCCATTTCTGAGTTCCAACTTATATTCATTTAGTCAACTGATATTTACTGAGCACATAGCAGTGACATAAATGCTAAAGATATAGCCATGAACAAGATAAGTGCAGTCTCTGTTTTCAAGGAGCTTATTTCTGGAGAGTAAGACAGACACTAAGTATATCAATATTTAAAAATTGTGGTAAATGCTATGAAGGAGCAGCACAGGATGCAATGAGACTGAGAATTGAGAACTTGGGTGTACCTTAGTCTGGATGTCAGGGAGGCTTCTTTGAGAAAATGACATTCAAGCTGAGCTCTGAAGAATAGGTGGAATCAACCAGATGAAAAGGAAGGAGTGGTGAAGGAGCATGGGGCTATCTAAAGAACTCAGAGAAAGGCAGCATAACTGGTCTCAGAGAGTAAGGGGGGGAGAGATTTTTGAAAAGGAAGTAGGGACCAGCCAGATCATGCATGGCTTTGTTTAATAAAAACAAATGTCCTTACTATGGCCTTGGAGTAATAGGAAGCTATGAAGTTCTAAGTGGAGAGGTGATACCTAATTTACATTTGGAAAGACCACTTTGGCTGCTTCAAGTAAACAGAAGGGAAGCAGATGAGAGTGGAGGGATGGAGTTAAACTGTTGCCATTGTCTGGATGATAGATGATGGTGGTTTGGACCACAGTGGTACCCCTTCCAGGAAGCCTTTCCATTTCCTTCCTTACCTACCCCATAGAATGTGCATGTCTATTAGTCACAGCCCTAACTACAGACTTTCCCTCCTGTTGTGTTTTTATGAAAATTATTGTATCTCTTCCATTTCAGTGCCAGTTCAGGCCTAGCTTACTGCAGCAACCTCAAATTAGTCTCCTGGCCTCAAGGCTGTTCTTTCTAAATGCTAATCTGATGTGTTATACTTCTGCTTGTCAGTCGTTGAATGCTCCTGACTTCAGTCCAGATGTCCTCTATGCAGCCTACCTGAGATTTTTAGTAAAAACACTTCTGACTTAATTAGCTGCCCCCCTTGAATGAATAGTCTAGGAGAGTGAAGTCTCCCCTTGCTAATGTAGAGTGACTAGTACCACCAGGAGCTGTGGAGCAGGTTGAAATGGGTACTTAATATCTCTGACAAGGCAGATTCAAGGTTTAACTTTAAACTGTACAGATTCAGGTCCTTTAAGCTGACATCCTAAAGCTGGGATATAAACAAGGATTCTTGGTAAGAGGAATGGTCTAAATAATGCCTCCATGTACACTGGAACCATGAGAAAGCCTTGACCAATATCCACAGGCCCAAGTGTGAGTCCTTCAGTATCATAAAATGAAATGATCACACATTGATCGTTTGCTGTCATGTGACTTTATGATTGGATGACTGCTTGGGAGCTCACCTGGAGTTCCCTGGCCTGCTGGAGAAAGTCCAAGCTTCTCAGCAGAATCTTCAAGCACCAAGACCTGGCTCCTGCTACCCTCTCCAGTCTCCTCTCACAAAATTTCCTTCATGTACCAACAAGAGAGAACTTCTTACTATTTCCCCATGTACCTCCTTGCTTTGGTATCACTCCCTTTAGCCTGGGATGCTCTGTCTCTTCTCTGAAGTCCATAACCCTTCAAGGTGGAGTACATACTCTCCCTTGCTGGTGAAGCCTTCCCTGATCATCCAAGACAAAGGAAGGGGAGTCGTCCACTAGGCACCCTCAATATAAGCCCTCCTTTTTCACAGCAGTTATGCCCAAATTGCACTTATTTGTGCACATGGCTATCTTCTCTCTATGGGACTGAGTCTGGTTCATTTATTTTGTCTTAATTTCCTGGAACAGAACCTACTACAATAAAGGGGTCAGTAACTGGGTATAATTTTTTTTTTTAAAAAAAGCAAAACAAAAAACACAAAGTAAGTCATTAAGTAAATAATTAAGAAAGTGAATTAATTTAAAAAGTGAGTTAAGGAATGAATGAATGAGCAAGTGAATAAGCAAACATGAGAATTAATTATTGGCCATATTTAGGACAATTTGAGCATTAAAAAGGATGATGACTATAATGGATTATTATATTTAAAAGGTTTTTGAGTCTATAGTGATAACTCAAAAAGAAAGAGGTAAAGAGAAAGCACTTCCTCATAGAAGAATGCCAGCTAACAAATGTAGAAGATATAATGTTATTATGTGCCATGGAGTCGGACCAGACTCATAGCAACCTCTCCTTGGGTTTCTGAGGTGGTATCACTATGGAAGTAGATTGCCCAACCTTCCTTCCGAGGAGTGGCTGGTGGATTTGAACTGCCAGCCTTCTGGTTAGCAGTCAAGTGCCTTAGGCATTACACTACCAGAGCTCCTGAAGATGTTATAGAAATAGAAAATCACCATTTTTGTAACCACCATTGTTAATAACCAATTCAGGTTAAAATCATCTGTGAATGCTAAAGTCAGTGGGTGAAAGTTTGCAAGGGAGCAGGTTAGTCACACAGTCTCAATATATGTCCCCATCACTGAAAGGGGAAGAGGTTCCTCTACAATGGAAAGGTTTTCTGAAGTCTGTCTTAACCAAGTAACATCACCAATGGGCCAAACTGACATCATGTACCTCCTGATATGATACAATGGGAAGTGTATCTCATCAACTAGGTTGTATAAAGTGTTTGGGAAAAGTGAGAGAGTGAATGAATGAATGGATGAACAAATGACTCGGTCTTGTTTGCTTTTCCCCTAATTGATTCAATGGATGGGGAGAACCTGTCTATGGGGGAAGGTGGGGGGCTAAAACATCACTGGGATAAGTTGCTCATTGATTCAATGAGGGGGAAAGCAAACAAGAGCATTATTGGGTGAATCAATGAGGGAGGGAGGGGTTAGGAAGAATGGTCACTAAGGCTCCAGCGTGCAAGGTCCCAGCCTCCCACTTGCCCATCTTATTTCTGCCTCAGCATACTTGCCCAGCCGCTCCGTCTCCTGGTAGGGCACATAGATGTTGTTGAGGCCACAGAGGAAGGCAGTTAGGATGATCATGAGGATAAACATGAACCTGACAGGGAGGGCAACAGAGAAGGGTCAGTGTGGGTCTCACTCTGGGAGAAGTCAGGCTATAAGAAGAGGGATACGGAGGGGGGCAGTGATGGCCTCCCCAGGCCAACCTCTCTACTTGATAAGTACTTAATTTTGTGTTATTAAGAATAGAGAAATTAGCAGTGGAAAGTGAGAAGTGATTTAAAGTGGGTGCCAAAACAGAAGTTTTCCCTCAAGAATAAAGGGCAGTGACATATTAGCTGAACATTTATATTAGGGAGATACACTCCTTGGGAAGATCAATCATGGGAGAATAGAAGGGCAGTGTATGCACAGAGAGACAGCTGGCAGGGGTCGGGGGGCAGGAGTGCATGGGAGGGAAGGACACAGGGAAAGGTAACTAAGGGGAAGAAGTGGGAAGAGAGCTGTTACACTGTGGGAGATTGTAGTCAGTGTCATGAGATGAAATGCATATGAACTTCTCTGTGGAAAATGAATTTGCTCTGTAAACTTTCACCCAAATAACAATAATTTTTTTTTTTTTTTTTAAAAAAGAATAAAGGGTAGTGAGTCCAATCAGTCAAAGCTGAAGATGAGTCATTCTCTCAGGGAGGGGCTAAGATGGTTAGATGTGGTGCAGGGATGGGTGGGAATCAGAGTCCTTCTGAACAGCAGCTACCATCAGAAGAGTTAGAGCTACATAAGTAAATCTGCAACAGAGGCTAGAAGAGCCCAGGAGTGGAGTAGGAGGGTTTTCTCCAAGCTAAGCTGAGCTGGACATGGTCACAGATGTAACCAGGACTTTTCCCACTAAGGTAACCCAGTCCAGTCCCACTTCAGGGAGGGGATGCTCAGGCGAGCAGGTGCTAACTATGGGCTCTGATGAAGTTTGGCTGTAAATGATTAGGTGATAAGCACCGAGAAGACCAGCAAATGTCATGGGTTCAAGAGCAGTTCTAGAGTGGGAAGGATGCAAAGGGACCTGAATCCGGTGCCCTTAATACACAATGAGAAAACTGAGGCCCAGAGAGGGGTCACATAGAGGGCAACAGAACTAGAACTGGAACTCACAACCCAGGGCGCTCTCTGCTCTCAGTGCTTTTTAACCTTTTCTGGAGTCAGGGGCCTCTTTGAGAATGGGATGAAAGTTACAGGTCCTCTCTGCAGAGAAATGGACATTTCCACTTACACTCTAAATTTTCTCTACAGTTTCAGGGGTTCACAGGCCCCTGGAGTCTGAACAAGGAAGCCTGGTTAAGAACTTCTGAACTACACTGGAGTGGGGAGTTTCAGAAGGTCTAGTGGAGTCTATCAAAGAGGAGGGTACTCTTAGGAAGGATGGTACCCACCGGATCATGTCATCAATCATCTTGCCAATGGAAATCTGCAAAGTGCCCAGTGACTCATGGGCTGGCAGAATGTAGGCCAGGCGGGTGAAGCTGAGCATGCTGGTGACAGCAAAGAGCACCTCAGCCAAGAACTGGGGATCCTCGGTGCGCCACTCACTTCTCTCTGTGTAGGGTGGAATGGGGGCTGGGACTGAGGGCCAAGGAAGAGGAAGGGGTGGGAGATTCAGGGTGGATGAGGGGAGATCTCACCAGCAGTGGTGAAATAGTGGCAGGCAGTTCCGTTTGGGGCATCCCAGCAGTGCATATGGGCAAGACCAGCCAGGAGAACACGCAGTGCAAAGGCTGCCAGGTACAGAGACAGGATGACCACGTCCAGGAAGTTCCACCAATCCAGGAGGTAACTACGCAGGCCCTCGATCCACACCTCCTTACACTCGAACCAGAGGAAGCCTGCAAGAGGCGCCAGGGGTTACTGCAGGATGAGGCAGAACTCTCCCCTTCCTTCCAGGTCAGAACTTCATTAAGGTGTGGATGGGGAGAACCTGTCTATGGGGGAAGGTGAGGGGCTAAAACATCACTGGGATAAGTTGCTCAAATGTAAGCATTTGATCTACTTCAGTACACAGTGATCTTAAGTGAAAATAAGAAACACTATACCCTGAGCAAGCTCTTGGTCACTCTGACCTGCACCAGTAGTCACAGTCAGCTGATATCCAGAAAGTGAGGGAGAGGCTGTTTATTGGGAGAGAGGGATTTATTTTTTTAACTTGCATTTTAAATCTTTAATATGTGTTCTGAGTTGTTTGGCTTGGAAAATCACCAAACAACCTGAAAAGGAAACAAGAACGATCAAAAAGTAAAATTGTTTTGATATATGTGTGTGTGTGTGTATACATGTATATGTATACATATACAGCAAAAAAAGCCAAACTCACTGCCGGCGAGTCAAACCTGGCTTATAGCGACCCACCCCTCCTTGGGTTTCCAAGGTGGTATCACTACGGAAGTAGATTGCCCCATCTTCCTTCTGAGGAGTGGTTGGTGGGTTTGAACTGCCAGCCTTCTGATTAGCAGTCAAATGCCTTAGGCACTATGCCACCAGAGCTCCTATGTATATGTATATATTTCCCCCCCTCAGAGTGATTCTTCTGCTTTGGCCAGTGGAAGTGAATTACTAAGCATATAATTATGAAAAAAAATCACTTTCTCTCTGTTCTCTACCAAATACGTTGGACAAATATTTAAAGAACACTGCTTTAGAAAGGGCTCCAAATCATCAGCCTGCTTAGGGGGCCAGTGTCTCAGTGGAGCCTGGTGCCAGACCTGGGGGTGAGGGAGTGGGCCCCACCAGCCAGGTGATCCTGCCATATTGTACCTTTCTTCTCTATTCCCTGGATATAATCATGTATCTTTTCACTCACTGTTCCTCCACCTTTAATGTCCCTTTATACCTTATTGAAGCGCTGTTGGCCTTTGTGGCCCAGGTCAAATATTACCTTCTCTGTGAAGCTTTTTCTAACCAGGTGGAGTGAGTGGCTCCCTGCTGTGTGTTCCCACAGCACTTGGTTCATCTCTCTGATGCCACTGCTGTGAGACACTACAGAATCTCTCTCCATGGGCCTATCCTCCCTCACCTTGTCGCTCCCTGAACTTGGAGCCCTTCAAGGGGAGGGTCCACGTCCAATTTGTCTTTGTCCCCAGTACCCAGATCAAGACCCAGTATTCACTGCTATAAAATATTTGTTCAGTCCCTACCATATGTCACTGGGATCTTGTGAATAATACAGACACAGTCCCTGTCACTCAGTAAGGAGGCAGACAAATAATCAAGTAGCTACAATCAAATGCAAGGACTGAGGAGAAGGGGAAAGATAGACTGTTATAGAAGTGTTTAGGAATGGATCCTCATCCTGATTTGGGAGTCAGGGAAAGCTTGTGAAAGAAACTGAGATTTAAGCTGAAGCCTGACGGACGGGTAGGAGCCAGCCAGATGAAGGGGCGGCATGGGAAGGGGAGAGGGCTTGAGGAAGAGTGCTGTGCCAAGGCTAGAGGCAAGTGAGAGCGTGATGTAGTCAGAAACTGCAATCAGTTCTGTGTATGAGGATGAAATCAGTACCTTGTGAGGGTAAAGGAGATGCTCAGTACATGTATGTTGAATGGATGGATGGAACCATATTTAACTTATCCATGTATTCTCTTCACTCATAGTTGGGGATCTCTTCAACTATGAGCTTCACTCATAGTTGGGGATCAGCAAATACTTATGGCAAGAATAAATTATTTTACATGTTTATAAGATTTTTCTTCCACAAGGACAGGAACTATATTGGTTTTATCTCAACCCAGTACAAGTCAATAATGTTTAGTAAATAATTGGGTGAGAAACTCCTTCTTGGACTGATCTTGTTTTCTTTCTTGAAAGTTTCTTGGTCAAATTTCCTTTCTGATATCATTGGTACCGTACAGGGTGGAATAGTGAATTTGGTATACGAGTGGCTGGGATTTTGCTAACTGAGCTAAAAAGAGGCCACCTAAACAGCCTGCTGACCTCACCAGCCTAGAGGCTAGGTAGAGCGCTGGAGTTTTTGTTTGAATTTTTTATTGTGATTTGGGTGAATTCCTACAGAGCAGATTGTTTTTCCATTGAAAAAATATGAAATGCTTCATGAATTTGTGTCATCCTTGCTCAGGGGCCATGCTAATCTCTGCATCATTCCAATTTTAGTATATGTGCTGCTGAAGAGAGCACAGCTCTGGGTATTCTCGTATGCAATATGCATTTGCTGAATTGTTTGTGAATATACAATTCTGCTATAGAAAAAAAAAGAAAAATGGAGTCAATTAAACTGATGTGTTAAGCATAGATAAATTAGTAACCTGGATGACATGTTAAACAAAAAATATTAAGTAGAACATATGAGTGTGAACATATATAGAAAGGATTGTAAGGACTGGTAGACGTCAAATACTCATGATAACACTGAATATGCATGAGGGCTATCAGGCCCTCATTATTCATCAGATCTTAAATCAGCTGTCCATTGGTGAGACCCACTTTGGCCCCGTCTGTCTTCTGCCTGAGGAATGCAAATACAAGTCATAGCTGCTCATTAGGATAATTAGTAAGCTACAGCTGTGGCCAGACATAGTTGCTTCTTTGTTTCTCCCATAAAAAGCATTGGTCGCAGGCACCTCTGTTGCATGCACGCTACTCAAACCTCAGGTCTGGTCCTTTATTGATTTAAAAAATGGTATGATTTGAGCATCTTAATTTATTCTGTGAGACTTCTGTTCCATGATCTCTAGGATAGCTTGCTTGGTAGTGTACTTGCAGGTTACCATTAAACCAAGGTATTTTCCCACCTGATACTGTGGGCAAGTTTCTTACTTGTGAGAAGAGAAGAACCTCCAGAGTAGGTAGTGACTGGAGCTAGGGTGAGGGAAGAATGGGGGCCCTTGCTCAAGGAGTCTGTCACAGGGCTAAGCGCCCTAATTGGGGCTGAAGAGGAAGAGATCCTTGATATGATAAAGCAGAGAGGGGCCTGGTTACATGTTCAGTGGGCATCTGCAGGAGCAGGGTCCCCCCCTTGGACTGCTTATCATGGAGAACAGTGAAGCCCCCTAAAGGAGACAGCTACAAATAAAGAGCCCCGTGTACCTGTGACCCAAACCATGTGTAGAGAAGTCTCCCAGACGCTCTGGCTGCGGCCACGGAAGATGCTGAGCTGCGTCTCCATGACTAGGGATTCTCCCAGCAGGAAGATGAGGAACCACAGATAGGAGGCGGAGTGCAGGAGGAACTTCAGTACCGGGATCTTTAGCAGATGGCCCAGCTTGAGTGGGAAGGAAGAGATCATGGCTCCAGAGTCCTGCTCATGCATCACTCTCTCTTGAAGGCCCCTCCGGACTGTTAAATCCACATATCACTCTTCTTTTCTCAGACTCACTTACTCATTTATTCAGACATTTATTGAGAATGTATAATACCAGACCCTAGACTTTCATATCTATCGTTTCCTTTACAACCATGAGGTAAGTAGGTCTTATTATTTCCATTTTTTTCAGATAAGGAACTGAGAACCCCAGAGGTAAAGTAATTTTACCTTGGGGGGTCCCCGTAGGCTTCTCAAACCCAACCAAGTTAAAAAAAATAAGTTCATTCTCTTCTGTCTCAAACTTGCTCCTCTTCCTGTGTCTTCATCTCAGAAAATAAGCGAGTTACTCAGCCAGGCACCTGAGAGGCATCTCTGCATCCTCCCCCACACACGTCTCCACACTCTGAGTCTCCCTAACCCCTGGCTGGCTTCCCATCCAATCCATTCTTCTATACCACTCACTGCTAGAGAGACCATTCCAAAAAACAAAACGGATGGGGTCACTCATCTCATTTAAATCCTACAACTGCCCCCAGGATGCAGTCTAACTGTCTTAACATGGCGTCTGAAGCCCTGCACGATCTGGCTCCCGCTGACTTTGCTGGTCCCTCCCTGCCCCTTTCACCAATTTGTACTTACTATTGCTATTTGCGCTTATGCTTTTACAACATGGAATTCCATTCAGTCTCTCTAATGCTTTACATCCTCTGCTCCCTGGGCCTTTATACATACTACTCCTGCTTTCTGGAACCCCTCTCCCCATTCTTTAACTGGTAAATCGGAACAGGGCTTGTTTTCATTATATGCCCAGTGTCAAGCACAATGCCTTGGTCACAGGAGGGTCTCAAAGAAATATTTGTTGAGGGAAGAAATAAAAATATTTAGGTTCACAAGGACTCCTGAAGAATTTCCAGGATGACATGGGGCCTTATTAGGAGACTGTAGAGCTGTGCATAAGATTCCGACTTTGGAGGCAGGGTTGACCTGTTAAAACCCTGATTTTGCTGTTTACTGCTACCATGGGCAAAACCAAACCAAACCAAACCCTTGTATTCTCTGTGCCTCAGATTCCTCCTCTATAACACAGAGAGATAACACCTATCTTCCAGGGCCGCTTCCAGTTATGGGTAAATTTGTAAGATGCCCAGTTCAGGGCCTGGCACAGAACAAACACTCAATAAATGATAGTTCTCATTTATCTCATTCTTAGTACCTGAGACTTGGGTGCCAGCCAGTAGCCAAGGCAGAGGAAGGGCATGGTGAGGAAGATGAGGAAGGCAACAAAGAGCTTCCAGATGGTGGTACTTCCACGCCAGCCGGCCAGGTTCCCGCACCAGATGGAGGACAGGACTTGCTGGCAGATAGGGTGTGCTACAAACTAAGCAGAGCAGAGGGACCACTAGGCAGGGAGGACACAAGGGGAGCACTGGGATGTACAGGTCTTGCTTCCCTGCCCCGGAAATTGAGTCAGCCTTCCTCCCTACTTAGGTCCCCCAGCCTAGAAGACAGGCAACTCACTTGCCATGTGACCTTGGGCAACCCCTCTCCCAGCCTTTGTTTCCTTCCTTGTGAAGGAAGAAGCTGAACTCAGGGATTTTTTTTTTTTAATTTTCCAGATCCCACATTCTTGGCTCTAAGTCAGTCTGTGGTGGGTAAAGATGGGTACCCAGGTCCTAGAATCTCAGGATTCCCTGTTTTCTTAGAGATGTGGGACACCAGCCTGAATGGTTTTGAGGAGGAGAGGAACAGGGAAGGGGGACTTAGTGTCGTGGATGGCAGGGCCAGGGGAACTATTATGAAGGAGGGTTTTTGATTAAGGTACTGGTGGCCTAGGATATCTGAGGGTAGGTAAGGAGAATGAGAAGGGATGGAGGAGGCTGGAAAGGGAACAAGGGGAGTATATCTTTAGCTTGGTGTGTGTGTATGTGTGTGTGCATCTAATGAGACAGTGACTCATAGAATCACTTGCTATCTAAGCCCTGAGAGGTCCAGTCTAACTTTTCATATAGAGATACTGGAGTCTTATGAGGGAAAGGACCAGCCCAAAGTTAATCAGTAAGTCAGAGATAGAGCCGAGTCAAGACCTAGATATCCTGGTTGGAAGGTAAGGTCCTGGTGGGTAATGGGTCTTCTAAGGACTGGGCAGAGTTTAGAGGTGTAGGTTAAAGGTAAGAAGGGAGAATCGAGGACCCATAGGATGAAGAGCCTGGATAGAAGGGTGCTCAAGATCAAGGTCTAAGATGGGTCCTGAGGGTAAAAAAAGGACTTGGAGTGGAAGATACTTATAAATGGCAGGACAAGGGATTAGGGCAGGGAAGGGCAGGACAAGGGATTAGGGCAGGATGGGGCAGGACAAGGGACTAGGGCAGGGAGGGGGGAGATGGTTAGGGCCCGGCTGACCCGCTTCTGGTTGTAGTTGACGGCCAGTCGCAGCCTTGCCAGGTTTGGGATGCCCTCCTCAAAGGCCTGGCCCAGGCCCTCAGCCTCCGTCTCGCTGTCCTCACCCAGGTCGTTGAGCACTGCAGTGACCTCACTCTGGTTTCGGCACATGCCTAGCAGTTCAAAGCCGTAGTCCTGGCTCAGTGACTCCAGGGCAATGTACTCAGGCTGCAGGGAGACAGACCTATTTGTGCCTGCCCTCTGTGGACCCAGCCCAATTAAATCAGCCCCCCACTACGGTGGGCCTGGGCCCGGGCCCTGCTCTTCCACCACATCTTTCCCACATCTGTTGTTATCCTGGGCCATCGAGTCCTTTTTTTCTCAGCCACCTCATCTATCTCTTTGTTACAGGTACATCCTGTGTCTTCTTTGCTTATCCTTTGCTACCTCTGCCTCATTACTGTTACTTCTACTCAAAACTCTGTCACTTTCACCCATCTTTTGTATTCCCTTTCCTGTCCCACTTTGACTCCTACTCTTTATGCCTTTCATATGCCCATTTTTTTTCTGAGCCTCTATCTTATAAGACATCCCATGCTGGCAGTTTTAGGAGATGTAGAAATGCACATGGTGGTCCTTGCCTCCACTCTACCAGTTCCATCCTCAGTTTCACATTGAGCCCTTACCCCAGACAGAATCCAAGCTAAGATTTCAGGAGGCTGGGTTTGAGTCTCAGCACTGTCTCTCAGCTCCCGTGCCTATGAAGCAGGGATAATTCTGCTATGCCTCCTCCGTGAACTGCTGTAATAACAGAAGGGAATTGTGCCTGTCAAAGTTCTTTGGAAAGGACTCCCCTTTCCTGACACCTGTGAAGTGGAGGCTCCTCATTGTTCAACTCTGCCCTAGCCCAGGGTGGGAGGCAGTATGCTCTTCTACCAGCTCATATGGCATAGCCACATCCTGCCTTAGGTCTCCATTTTGACATTCTTAACTGTTTCTCCATCTAATGGTAATCTTGAGGACAGGGATCAAGTTTGCTTGGCACAGAGGAGGTGTCAGTGGTTGAGTGATGAACTGAATTAGAATGGTGGTATTCAAGTCTCTGCCTCCAGGCCTCCACTGGTTCCCCCTCGTTCCTTCTCTGTCCTACAGGGTCTCCCCTGTACTCATCTCTACTTTTGCTTGGACTATATCCTTACCCCACTCACCCTTCCTGCTCCTCTTGTCTTAAACCACCCATTTCTGTATCTAAGACTAAACCTGATTCTTCCATAGCGTTTTCCCTCAACATAACAGCTATAGTTTCCTGAACTGTTTCAAGGGCTTTAGAAGCCCTGTTAGCAACATCCAGAGATAATGAATGAAGAGTCCTATTTCCCCTCTCAACCTTCTCCTTGCTTATGATCACAAACTTGAGAGCCCCATCTTCTTTGGATCCTCAATATAAAATGCTCTAGGTGGGAACACCCAGCAGGTACTCAGAAAAGACATTATATTAAGTGTCATCTCTAAGTCTGTCCTGCTGTTTTGCAATCTCTGTCTTTGTTCTCTCCTCCCACAGACGCAGGGAACTTCTAGGGTAGAGCTTGTGCCACCACAAGACTAGGTGCCCCTAGAGGGAAGGACTGCTCTCTACCATTAGAATGAATGCCCCTTCATGCCCTCATCTTCTTTCAGTTGTTTTCTACTTCCCAGAATACCTACCACAGGTCCAACAATGCCCTGGTAAAACAACATATACGGGGGCACAGAAGGCAGAAAATATGAAACCAACCTTAAACTCGGGCTCCTTGCGTGCAAGGCGCCTGAGCTCGCGGCTAAGCTGGAAGGCAGCCAGCATGGCATCCTCACTGGCCAGTGAGAGATGCGCCCTGCTGGCAATGCCACGATAGGTGTTGATGCGGGACAAGGAGAACTTTAGCAGGTCATAGCGGCGGGCGTTGCCGCACTCGAGGCAGGCACAGGAGACTGGGTGGGGTCGGGCGATGGTGTGACCCTGATCCATGAGCAGCTGTGCAATCTCATACAGATCCTTCTGGCAGGCCAGAGTGAGTGGAGTGACACCAGGGGCAAAGCGGGAGCCATCGATTGATGAGTCAAAGAAAGCCAGTGAGAAAGACCTAGTGTCTACTTTGCGGCCCTTCTCCCGTTCCAGCCGGGCCAGTAAGCGACGCACCACTGCTGGCTGATTTGTATCCACTGCCACTAGCAATGCCTCATGGATCTGCCGGAAGTCGAATTTGACATTGGCCAATAGCATATCGGTGATGGCCTCGTGGCCCAGGCGGATGGCCAGGTTGAGAGCTTCCCTCCAGGAGCGGTCCTCAGCCTCCTCTACATTCCGCAGGGGCCCACCTGGGCCACTGCCACCTGTGGCCTCCACCCCTGACTCCAGCAGCTGCTGCACAAGGCCCAGTCGCCCCTCCTGGATGGCACCCAAGAGTGGAGGTGGGAACTTCAGCTTTTTGTTCACGATCTCCGTCCAGTTAGGCTGTGGCTGAATGAAGCAGTAGAGAGGGCTGGGATCCCAAATGCCAAGTCCCTTCACTTTGGGGTCTTCCCCTTCACCCTTCTACTCTCAAGCCTTTGCCCTTGACACCCAGCCCACCATTACATTCCCTGTCCAAACCACATACTAACAAAATTTTTATTTACCATTTTATTGTGTAGATTCTCAGGTTAAGAAAGTATCAGGACTGGGTGACTGGAGCCCCTTCCTCAGTACAACTTCTACCCTTGTACACAGTGGGGCCAAATGTGGGTAGGTTCTAGTAGGAGGTGGGGCTGACTGGGAGCCAATTCCACATGCAGGCACACAGGATTTGTCCAGGACCCAGCTCCCATATTGTTGACTTAATCTCCCACCTGCTCCTCCTTCCAGAAATCCCAGAGCATCTCTGACAGGCACGTCTAGACATGTCCACAAAGGAGGGTCTTTGAACTGAGCTTTCCCAAGCCCTTCGGTACTTACCAGGCTTCCTACCAGGGTCCCAACATGCACCCCCTTCATCAAGCCCCCTTAGCTCTACCCTCTTCTGCTTTAGGGGACATTTCTCCCCTGATTGCTCCCAGGCCCAGCTTCATCCTCATAGCTCTTCTCCACTATGTCCATGTTCAGGGTTCCAGGGGCTCTTCTCCCAGCTACAGGAGATGCCCACCACATGCCTAGAAGCTAGGATGTCCTTGCTACCCCTCTGGGCCAAACTGCTGTTTGATTCATCATCAGAAATGGGACCAGGATAGGGGAAGCCAGGGGAGAAGAAGGCCTCTTACCGTGAGGGAGTCCATGGCTGCACTCACCTATGCTGGCAGAGACCGAAGGACTGAACTCCTGCTGTCTGCTCCCCTGACAGTGCCTAGCATCCTCTTAAAACCCCGCCCTGGACCCTCCCTTTGCTAGGACCAGCTGCTCCCCCTCTGCCCTGTACCCTGGGACCAGGGGAGGTGGTGTAAGCAACATAAAATTAAATCTTCTGGGGAAAGGGAGATAGGACATAGTTGTTCAAAGAAAGTGAGAATAACTTAGAATGTTCTAGCTGGAAAGGACTGAGACACCCTGTAGTCTAACTACCTCATTGCACAGATGGGAAACAGGATTTGCCTAAGGTTTCACAGCCAGGTCTAGAACCATTTCTTAGTCATTAACCTATCTAACCTCTATAATAGCTTTGTGATGAGAGCAGGATATTTTCTGTTACTGAGGGTTAATTCTGGGCCTAAGATAAATAACATGTGTTTATTTATTAAATACTGATTAAATAACAATACCTGATCAGAGGATAGGAACACATAAAGGACACTGAAAATTTATGAGATGCTAGAATGCAGTCTATTTATTGCTCAAAACCACTCTCACCTTCCTAGTACATCACAGGATCTTATCTGTTAGGTAATGCTTTTCTCTTCACCGGGCCTCAGTTTTCCTTTCAGAGGAAGAAGTTCTGGATTGTGTTCCAACGTCCTAGAGAGATCACTAATCCTACTCTAGAAGTTCCAAGAGGAAAAATGATAGGGCTGCTCTTGGAAGAATCAGGTGCCATGGCGACAGAAGCCTTGACAACTGGGAGTGAGGATTAAGCTATGCCCAGAGGTGCCTTCAGACAGACTCCTGAGGGAATGGTTGGAGCGAAGGAGGGAGAGAGGCTAGGCCTCATCAGTCCTTCTCAGCTGTCAAGAGACTCCCATTGTCAGTTATACCAGATAGAGATGGGGGTGGGGGACAACAAAACCACAGGCCCTCACGGCTCATGCCTAGGGGAGCTCCCCACACATGCTGGCATGTTCTTCTACTTCTCCCGCTGAGAATTGGAACTGGCAGATAGGGCACTGGACCCAGGAAATGGGTGGTGAGCTTTCTGGGGAGGGAACCCACACTACAGACTGGGATGAAGATGGTGATGAAGATGGTGATGAAGAGGGAGAGGCTGGGTGAGGTGGGGAGGTCTCTCCACACGTGGCAGCATGCAGGGCGAGAATTTCAAGGGTGAAGGAGCCTAAGAGGAAGAGAAGGAGGTAAACAAAATGTACCCACTCACAGGCAGAATGCTACTCCAAGCAGTCTGAGGGAGCATCTGCTGTCAAAATGCAGGCAACTTGTCATTCAATATTTCATATCCAAGATATACTATCTACGCATGTATCCACCACTTTTTGTTTACTAGCCCAACACTGTGCTAGGAGCTGAGGGATATAGTAAACCCAGGCTTGGGTTTACATTTATGGAATGTAGAGACTACTGGTGAAGATAAGCCATCAACACACATTACAATGACACAAAGCAGAGACTGAGAAGTGTTAAACCTATGGGAATTAGAGAATGCTGCAGGAGCTCAGTTGGGAGAGATGACTTGAAATCAGACAAGACTTGGCAAATAAGTACCACTGAATAGAGACTTAGAAAATAAGTCGAATCTGGACATAAAGAAAAGTTATAAAAAAAATTCTAGGCCCTCTCCAGTATTACTTTATAATGTACTATTTCATGCTTCTCCTGAAGGCAGGGCCCATGTCCCTTCCTCAGGTTGGTGAACACAACCTGAGCAGGTGCTCAATACGGAATTGTCCTGAATTATATAGTTGGGCTAAAAGCATAGATATATACCTGGGTGTTTCAGAGAAGACAGAAGCCAGGAGTCCTAGTCCAAATGTTCCATGACAACATTCCTAGATCTCCTAGTTCTCTCTCAAGGGATGCCTAACGGTCCCATAACAACCCCGTGTGCCTAAGCCAGGCAGCTCACCAGCACAAATGGGGCACTGTCCACTATCCTGGACACCACTGCTTTGGGTTTGAGGTTGGTGTTGTTGTCTCTGTCCATAGCTTTGGGTTTGCAGATGATGTTGTCGTGTTGTGCCCCTCCTGTTTGGCTGAGGGTTACAGTTAGATAGAAATCTGTGAGAAAGAACAGTTAAAGATCAGATATTAGCAAGAAGTGGTATTTTGTCATAAGGTGGCAAACAAGTACCATTTGCATGGAAACTTAGAAAATAAATAGAGTCTTATTGAACAGAAGGAGCCCAGAATTAGGGCAAAAAGAATATAAAGTAAAATAGCCTGAAGCCTTGGGTTGGAGTCCTAGTGACCCCACTTAATGTATTAGACTTGAGGGATATCATTTAACCTTTTAACATCTGAGAAAAGCACTTGTATTACTGTTTTAAGGTTCTTATTTTTTTAAATTGAGATATAATTCACGTCATAAAATTCACTCCTTTTAATGTACTATTCAGTAGTTTTTAGTATATCCATAAAGTTGTACAGACATCACCAGTATCTAATTCCAGAACATTTTCAGCACCTCAGAGAGAAACCTTGTACCATAGAAGTTACTCCCCATTACTTCCTTCCCTAGCCCCAGGAAACCACTAATTGACTGTCTCTATGGATTTGTATATTCTGGATTTTTCTATGATTGAAATAATATATTATGTGGTCTTGTGAATAGCTTCTTTCACTTAGCATGTTTTTAAGGTTCATCCATGTTGTAGAATGTATCTGTACTTCATTCCTTTCTTTTGGCAAAATAATATTCCATTGTATCAATATATAGTATGTTGGTTATCTATTTATCAGTTGATAGACATTTGGACTATTTCCATTTTTTGGCTATTATGAATAATGCTTTTGTAGATTTGTGGTAGTTAAGGTTGTGTATCAACTTGGCTAGGCCTGGCTGAGTGGCTGGGCAGCTTGATGTAGTTATTCCCCATGGTGAGACTGGCAATCAACTCCATGGTGGAATTTACTGGAGCAGCTGAGTAGCTGTTTTAGGGATGGGATCTGCTTCCAGTATACAAGCAGCAGCTTTGAGGGAGGTCTCCAGCTTTTTGACACGCTTGAACCCTGAATGTAGCCCAATCACTGTTCAGCAGTCTGCCATGCCCTGACAATCTTGGAACTTGAATTAGTGGCCTGCCATGCTGTTTGGTAATATTGGGACTATGCCTTTTTTACTTGTCGACCTTGGGTTTGTCAGCCTAAGCAGCCAGCAACTGCCTGAGAGAAGAAAAGCCTCCAGCTTCACCTGGCCAGGAGCAGGACCCAGAGCTGAAGCCTAAGGTTGAGTGGCTTGGGGGACTTCCGGTAAGATGGAGGAACAGGCAGACAAGCGACACAGACCCTTTTCAACAAAGAAAAGAAAAACCAATTGACAGAGATACAGAAGATAATCCTGGAGCCCTGAGCTTTGAAAGGAACTATACAGAAGTGGATTAGGCACCAACTAATAGAAAAACCTGAATGAAAACAGTGCGTACAGACAGGGTCGGAGCTGCAGATTGTCAGCTACTCTGACAGGATCAACTGCTGAATATTTCCAAGCAGTGTTGGGACCTGAGAATTGACCTGAAGATCAGCCCCGGTCACCAAGGGATGACTGTGCTGGTGGCCTATGACTAGGAAGGGAAACAGCAAGGAGGGAGACAACCTGAGCTGTTGACTTTCTGCTGTCTGGAGGGCACAGCCATTTTGGATATTTAAAGTGATTGAGGGCATAGCGATTTTGAATGTTCACAAGTGGTGGCCATTTAGGATATTTAAAGTGACTGAGGGAGCAGCCAATTTGAATCTTTACAAGTGGCAACCATTTTGGATTTTAAAGTGATAGCATTCTTACTCGGATTCCAGGGACCTAATAATAAGCTTTGTTTGCCAAGGTTGCAGGGACATACAAGAGGCTGACAACAGGAAAGGAGACAGGTGGTGAGTGTATAACTGCTTTCAACTAGTGAATAGAGGAGCACAGCACAGTACCTTGCTTGTGTGGATGATATACAAACAAAACAAAGAAAATGAAAATTGTGGGCAAGTCACTCCAACATTTAACCACCAATTAAATATAAACACAAAAATGTCACAATGCCTCAGAGACAACAGAGCATCACAGTCCACACAAAGAAGCAAGATAAAGCAGGAGAAACAAGGAACCAGGATACAGACCCAAAACACATCCCTGAGGAAGACGCACCAATGGAACTCTCTGATAAGGAATTCGAAAGAATTATATTTAGGTATATTCAAAGGATTAAGAAACAGATTAAGGAAAACACAGACAAAACCATAGAAAAATTTTGGAAGAAAATACAAGAACAAAATGACAAAATAAATGAAAAATTAGAAATGATTAAAAATCTACAGATAGAAATCAAGAAGATTAATTCTAAATTGTCAGAAATAGATAACACATTGAAAGGGTAAAAGAGTAGAACTGATGCAATGGAAGACAGAATTAATGAGATTGAAGACAAATACCTGAATACTTCTTTGGAAAGGGATCAATCAGGAAAAAGATCAAAACACAATGAAGAAAGCCTAAGGTTCATGTGGGATACCATCAAAAGGAATAACCTACATGTCACTGGAATTCCAGAACAGGAAGAGAAAAATAAAACCACTG